CTGGCACAGAGCATTCCAGGCTCCCCAAAATGTCCATCCACACTGCCTGGAACAGAGAATTTCAGGCACCCTGAGATGTCCATCCCACTTTGTCCAGAATGGAGCATCAATGGGTGCCCCAAGATGTCCATCCACAGTGCCTGGCACAGAGAATTCCAGGCACCTCAAAATGTCATCCACACTACCTGGCAGAGCATTCCAGGCACCCTGGGCACCCCAAGATGTCCATCCACACTTCTGGCACAGAGAATTCCAGCCACCCCGAGATATCCATCCCACACTGCCTGGCAGAACATTCCAGGGATCCCAGACATCCAGAGGTGTCCATGCTGCCTGGTCTGGATGTAGCCACTATCTCATGGGATTGGTTGGAACCTCATCCAAAAATGCCAGGATTCAGGGTAGGGGTAATTTCCATATGTTCTCACTTTCTTTTACTGCTCTCCAGTGTAAGGTAAATTATTTGATAAAAAAAAACACCTTTTGTAATTTGGTTGGATCTTTGTGGTTTTGGAGAAAAATAATAAGGGTGTAAAGTGGAAGAGGTGGTGCAGTGTGAGGCTGGTGCGAGGAGGAAGCTCTGCTGCAGAGTGCCCTTCTGCTGACACTCCTTGGGCAGGATAAAAGGGCTCCGAAGCAGGAATCAGCAAATATTCAAGGCCCTGTGAAGCCAAGGGACCAGGAACTGAACCAATTAATCTGTCTCCAGCCTTAAAGCTTTGCCTACACCTTTAACAGCACAGCTGGGATGCTGCCAAGGGCATTCAAACCTCCCCTCCTACAAACAAACACATTCCTAAACCTCTTAAAACCCCACATTTAGAAAATCAGTTATAATTTACTGCATAATTAAGGAGTTTTGTTCATTGTTAATTTTCTTAATTGTTTTGATTCAAGAAACATTCCCAGATCTGGAACTCTTCCATTAATCAATGGTTATTATTTTAATAAATAAAAAATAGAGAAGATGGGGTGGGGCGGGGGGGGAGTGGAAAGCCTTTTCTCTCCTGAAAATTCATGGCTCGAACTTGGTGCTCTGGGCTATTCACATGAGCTGATGGACAGAGGGATTTACTGCTCCTTGGAGGCTGTGGTTTATTTTTCCTGCCAACAGCAGGACCTTGGTGTCACCCCAACCCTGTCCTCGGCCGTGCCAGTGCCCGGTGCAGGCTGGGCCACTGGGACAGCCCCCACTGGGAGCTCCAGCCACCCCAATTAGGAAAGTGTGGAAATTGGGCATTGGAGTGAGCACAGGAGCTGCTGTCAGGAGGATTTGTGTCAAGGGAACTCCTGCACGGGGTCACTGCCGGGCGCTGGCAGGCGAGGCCAGCCCCAGGAG